TGGCATACAGTGGTCCTATAAGTGTATTTTTATGATCTCAATTCCCAGGTATATAGTAGAGCTGACAAGGAACAAGGTTATAGTCACATCTTGGTCACAGCCAGCTACCCAGAGGGACTGAGTAGTTGAACCTGTGGGCTCAGGACCATAGTCACAGGGGACATCAAGTTCAATTGGCATAACATAATACACAAAACACTGTTCTACCTCCTACTCTGGCGAGTAGCGACTGGGATCTTAAAAGCTTGCAACACCCATCTAGATGCAATGATGGGTCTCTCCTCATCCAGAGCAAAGAAGAATGAAGAAAACCAAAGATTCATGGAAAGAATTAGTCCTAGCGACTGGTATACCATGCAATCCACAGCCTATATGACTATGAGACCAGAAGAACTAGATGGTGTCTGGCTACCAATGTCAACCACTCGGAGGGGAATCTATGTAGGAGACCCTGGATAGAGAGGAAGAACAATGTGAAACAAAACTCAAAAGCATTTGGAAAAAAAAAGGGGGGGAGACCAGGTTTGCTGGTCTGATAGGGTCTGGTGGAACCACTGAGACTATGGCCCCTAGCTGCCCTTCAGGTCTGGAATTGAACCCACACCTGTGGCTTCTACCCAAGCAAAAGACAGGCATAGGAACTGAACATTTACCTGAGATAAATACACTCCTTGGAGAGAACAATCATGGGAGAAAGAAGGGCTATTTATGCACAGGGAGACAGTTCAGGGGGGCGGGGGGCATGGAGGGATGGACACAGGGAAGAGGTGACTGTTGGGAGGAAGTGGGAGGGGAGCTGTTGCACTGTGGTGAATTGTGGTCAATGTCATAAGACAAATTATATCTGTATGGAAAGTGAATTTGCTCTGTAAATTTTCACCCAAATCACAATAATTAAAAAAAAGAGACCTCTTCAAAGTGTTAAAGAGCCAAGATGTCACTCTGACAACTCAAACCATGTTATTTTCAATAGTCTCATATACATACGACAGATGGACAATGAATAAGGAGGAGCACAGAAGAATTGATGCATTTGAATTGTGGTGATAGTGAAAAATACTGAATATGTATCATGGACTGCTAGAAGAATGAAAAAAAATCTGTCCTGGAGGAAGGACAGTTGGAATGCTCCTTAGAAGCGAGACTGGCCAGACTTTTTCCTTCGTACTTTGGTCATGCTGTCAAGAGGGACCAATCCCCGCAGGACTGGGTAGTGTTTTGTTCTGTCGTACGTAACATCGCTGAGTTGGAATCCATTCAACAGCACCTAACAATAACAACAACTGTTCAACAACAAAAAAAGGAGGGACCAATCCCTAAAGAAGGACACCATTGTTTGCTAAAGCACATGGTCAGTGATAAAGGAGAAGACCCTCAACCACATGGAATGACAAAGTGGCTGCAATGATGGGCTCAAGCATGGCAAAGGTTGTGAGGATGCAGGACTGGGCAGTATTTTTTTGTTCTGCTGTACCTAAGGGTGCTATGAGCCAAAACTGACTTGACAGCACCTAACAACAACAACATATGCATCTAATAACCAACCCATACTTCTTCCACTTTGATTTATAAGACATCTGGATTCACAATGGCTAAATCGTGCCTCTGAACTAGTCTCAATAAAGCAGCACTTAGCACAACGAAGACATTTAACAACTAGGTTTTTAGTGGAAGGCCAGGGAAATTGAAGCCGAATTTTTTACATTTAATTCAGAACCACAGGTATCTGTTTACTTGGTGAAAACATTAAGCATTTCATAGAGAAGAACTATGATAAACAGTTATTCTGATATTCTTACATTTAAGGTCCTATTGAGGACCTACCAAGTATTAAAAGCATACTTAGATCTTTAACACAAGCAGATTACACGTATATTGTAATTTTCGGCATGCCAAACCACTTCTGTATCAAACATTTCCTAGCCTCTAACCTCCCATTTGGTCATCTCTTCCAAGCCCTGTAAGCAAGAAAGCATTAAACCTAATACCTAAAGAATATATTAGATGATAACCTACTGATTTGCATTATGTTTAACCAGGGAAAAATGATTTTGTAAAGAATCATTTAGGTAAGGGGACTTCAAACTATAGCCCATGGGCCAAGTACAGCCAACCGCCTGTTTTTACATAGCCCATGAAGTTAATAATGGTTCCTACATTTTCAAGTGGCTGGCAGGAAAATAAGAAAAAAATCAAAACAATAATATTTTGTGACATTTGAAAATTGCACAAAACTATAATTTTGGGATTATAAATAAAATCTTATTGGAACCCAGTCAAGTTTCTTAGTTTATGTATTCTCCATGGCTGCTTTCTCACTATTATAGCAACATGAGTAGCTGACTGTGTGGCCCACAAGCCTAAAATTTTTGCTATCTGGCACTTTAGAGATAATGGTTGTCAATCTCTGACTTAAGACCCTAAATGTGAGTATTTCACTTTCAAAAATATGGCAAGCATACTTAAAGACAATTTGTTTTGTTTTTTTCTTTTATCAAATGGTTATTCTGAAGGGTCTCTTAGAAAGTAAATTTTTCTGACTTAATAATAACAAATTTACATATAACTTTCCACAAACTTATTACATACATAGAAATACAATCATTCCAAAACAGGCAAGGATACAAGAGCGAATCATGCATCAACCTCTCTTCCCACCATCTTTCTTTTCTACTTTTCTCATATCTCCTCATCTTTTATAGTATTCTCCTTTTGCTAACACTTCATCTAGGAGGCAGGAGAACAGGCAAGGCTAATCACAGTTATTTATTTTTTAATACTGTATCAGTGATTTATAAAGTCAAAATTACAAAGCACTAAAGCGTAAGAAATTAAGAATGAGGACAGTAATCATATCACCTTTGATTTCTAGTTTCTTCTATGGTACTTGTCACTTAGAAAATCTTATTCAGGAAAATAACGGTAAATAAATCGTAAGGATAAATGCTGCTGCTGCTGTTGTTAGGTGCCATCGACCTGATTTCGGGCTTACAGTGACCCTTCGTAAAACAGAGTGAAACACTGCCCACTCCTGCGCCATCCTCACCATCCTTGCTGTGCTTGAGCCCATCGTTACAGCCACTGTGTCAATCCAGCTCATTGAGGGTTCTCCCCTTTTTCACTGACTCTACCATATCAAGCATGATATCCATCTCCAGGAACTGGTTTCTCTGACAACATGACCAAAGTAAGTGAGAAGAAGTCTGTCCATTCTTATTTCTAAGATAATGCTAGTCACCTAAAAGTGTTTACCTTTATATATTTCTCCTTTTTTCCTTTTTCAACATATAACTTCAGAGTTCCCAAAAACAATCTACTAATTTATCTAAATATGACAATAAGGAAGACACAAATATTTTTGCTTTTATGGCACCATTATCACACTTCAGTCCAAAAGAAAGTCTACTGACATTTTAAGATTGAAATGTCAGATTTTAAATAAATGATAAAAACTACAGGAGTATGTAATAATGGAGAAAGCCCAATACACCTCTACAGTTTGCAACAAAATGAAACAAACGTATAGCAATGGGTGAGTTTTTTGACCTCACCAATAATGTTAGATTTATGATCTTCTGGGTTAAGGAAAAAAAAAAAAAGTGAGGAGACTTGAGAAGAAGAAAGACAAGAGAAAAAGCTACTCAACTAACTAAATAATCTAAAATCTTCATTTATTAGACAGTGTAAAGCTTTACAGTTAAATCCTATCAAAGTAGCAGCGGTTACAGATAAATCACACAAACCATAACTTCTTGAAAACGGACCTTCAACATCATTACTTTAATTGCAAGAAAATAAAAAATCATTGAGAACCTGGTAGGATTACGAGGTCTTAGCTGTTTTTCAATTGTTAACACTTACCTTCTGTCTTTCCATTTTTCAACATATGGACTAGTCCCGAGTTCTCCATTTCTACTATAGTCTTCATGTGCTTGGAAATGAGTTCCCTTTCAACCACCTTTACAATTGGCTCTTCAGTTGATTTGTCAAGGCAGTGCATCACCCGTTCTATTTCTTCATTAATTCTAGCTTCTACCTTCTTTATATATACTGAAGCACTGTTTTCTGCTAAAAATTTCTGGCTTTCCATCTGCAATTAAGGAGCATGATTTAAACAACAACAACAACAACAACAAAACTTAGAACCACAATGTGTGTCTGCTTTTAATTGGGCATCCACAGGTTAGAACCCACCCAGAGGCTCTGCAGAGGCCTCGCAATCTGCTTCCATAAATACTGCAGCCATGAAGACCCTATGGAAGCAGCTGTGCTGTAACACATGGGGTTGCCATGAGCTGGGATCAACAGCAATGGGTCTCTTTTCTTTTTCCCTGTGTTGTTTATCATAAACCAGTCACTTGATCCTAAGCACTACTAACATTTTATATTACCTATTAAATTTAAAAAAAGTTTTGCCTTTGAGTCAATTCCAACTCATGTTGACCCTATACATTCCATATAACCTGAATTATATCCTTTAAAGCATTACTTACATAAAGCATGAGAATGATATAGTATATTATCTTTAAAGTAGTATTTTTCAACCTTTGCCAATGTACTCCAAATAGCAAAAAAGTCAACACAGCCAGTGAGGGTCAAAAGTATAGAATGACGTATCTCACCCCAAAGGAGAGTGGGAAATTCTTCTTTGATTGGTTTCAATATAAAATTATACCATAAAGATTAATCATTTTTACTATAAAGCTTTGCTGGCACACTGCTGGTGACTAAAATTCTTCTGACATCCCACTCCTAGTGTGAAAAGAATACCAAGAAATACTGAAGTCTGAAAAACAGAGCTTTTAAAATACTACTAATTACGTTATCTGCTAATTTCAGCCTTACAGATATTTCAATAAATAATGTCACTCCAATTGATTTTAACATATTTGATAGCAGCCCTGAATAAATATATCTAAAAATTATGTAATAGAAGGCACGCTGATACAAACTACATTGTTTTGTAACATTTCCCACTTTATTAACTAAAAGTAATTTTAATCCTTGAAAATAACAAAGTTCCTAAGAATAGATATTAATACACCAAACAAAAATCTTGGTGAGACCGTATTTCCACTCAAAACTAACCAAAATATGTTGTTAGGTGCCATTGAGTCACAGTGACCCCATGTGCAACAGAAGGAAACACTGCCAGGTCCTGCAGCCTCCTCACAGTCTTTGCTATGCAAATACGTATGTCTATGCATACACAGAGATAGATACATGTATGTCACAGCAGAACATTTTCAAATCTTGACTTGCAAACAATTTATCTGTTACTATTAATAGTCTGTCATGAAAGAAATTAAAACTAAAACAAAGGTAAAAAAAATACTGTCAAAAATACACAGAACTAGGTGCTATGCTGTTAGAAAATAAAGACTTTCCTAAGTTACAAATTTTTACTTTTTAAAGCATGGTCCAGGCTCATTAGTGTAGTCAAATGATACCAAAATTCAGAGTTCCATTTTTATGTATATCCAAGGGCTCTATGCATTACCTACTGCATTATTAAAGGTCATTTTCATTTTGAATTCATTTATTTATTTTTTTAAAAAGCGTATCATCAGAGTAAAATATATAGAGTAACATTCTACTAGGAAGTCTATTTTGGCACCGCTACCAAACTCCTAGTGTGAATAACAGAGATAGGTAGTTGCAACTACCATCAAGGATCCTTGTTATGTTTACATTATAAATACTATATAGTGTTTGTCATGGTACTCAGTTAGTGTTAGTATAATCACTTCATTACAAATTAGTACCAGTTTAACTTCACTTTTGGCAATTTAGTTGACTCTGGGTTGTCTATAATGCTGCATATATTTCTATCAATAGTATGTATTAGCCTGTAATTTACTAATCAACTGTCTTTAAGACAAATATGCAGTACAGAACCATATATAACTCAGTAAGTCTATACAGTGAGACTTCATGGTGACATGCTGCCTGTGAATTCATGCTATTAATTACAGTAAATGATTGTTAGTCACTGTAGTTACGGTCTATAAAGTTGCTACAAACACTGAATTAGCAAATATTGAATCACTGCTCCTAGGGAAAACACAGGGTTAGGTTCCTGTGAACTTCTCATCACAATACATAACCTTGTTTTATGTGTGTTTCTGTTTAAAGACAATTTTTAAAACATATACTGTAAATCCATTAACATTGAACTCATGGCTAGCTACACTATAACCTGTGCCTGCACAAAGCTTATGTAACACAGGCATTTGTTTGTTCTTGAGCTTAGAACACCAGACAGCACTCAGCACTGTTTTTTTGAACAGAAAAATAAACAAATATACTTTCATGAAAATAAATACTTTTATGAAAAATGTGGGACTAAACAGACAATGGGAAAAAAAAAAACTTTTTATAGTAGGAGACCTGAAAGAAGAATGTAAACCGTTTGTTATCCTGTTCAATTGCAGCTAGGAATGTGTGTGTCAGGGACTCAGATTTTTTCCTACTCTGTCAATGAGCACAAAATAGTCCTAAGTGCCGATTTGGTGGTTACAAATACATTTTAGAGAGCAGGTAGATTAACAAACACAGAATTTGTGAATAAAGAAGATCAACTGTAATGTTATAAACAGAAACATAATAAAACAATAAAGGTTGTTCTAAGTCTGAAAGGCAATGTTTTATGTTGCTGCTAAAGGCCATCAAGTTGCCTCCGACTCACAGCAACCTTATGCACAACAGAATGAAACACCGCAAGGTCCTGTGCCATCCTCACAGTCCTTGCTGTGCTTGAGCCCATCATTGCAGCCACTGTGTCTATCCATCTCACTGAGGGTCTTCTTCTTCACCGACCATCTACTTTATCAAGCACGATATCCTTCTCCAGGGAAAGTAGGTGAGATGAAGTCTGGGCATTCTCACTTCCAAGGAGCACTCCCAGCTATACTTCTTCCAGGAAAGTTTTGTTCCTTCTTCTGGCAGTCTATTGTATTTTCAGTATTCTTTGCCAACACCGCAATTCAAAGGCAGCAACTCTTCTTTGGTCTTCTTTATTCGCTGTGTAGCTTTCACATACATATGAGGTAACTGAAAATACCATGGCTTAGGTCATGTACACCTAAGGCTTTAAAGTGACATCTCTCATTCTTAATACTTTGAAAGAGATTTTTTTGCAGTAGATTTTCCCAGTGCAATATGATGTCTGATTTTGTGACTGCTGCTTCAGTGAATGTTGACTGTGGACCCAAGTAAAATGAAATCCCTGGCAACTTGAACCTTTTTTTCATTTATCAAGATTTCGCTTATTGGCCTAGTTGTGAGGGTTTTGTTTTCTTTACGTAACCCATACCTGAATACTGTAGTCTTTGATCTTCATCAGTAAGTGCTTCAGTCATCTTCACTTCCAGCAAGGTTGTGCAAGCTGCATGTGGTTGTTAACGGCTCTTCCTCCAATCCTGATGCCACATTCTTCTTCATATGGTCCAGCTTCTTGGATTATTTGCTCAACCTACAGATTAAGTATGGTGAAAGGATACAACCCTGACATATAACCTACCGAATTTTAAACCACAGTATCCCCTTGTTCTGTTCAACCAGCCTCTCAGGTCTATGTACAGGTTCCTCGTGAGCACAATTAAGTGTTCTAAATTCTCATTCCTTGCAATGTTATCCATAATTTGTTATGATCCATAAAACTGAACACCTTCATATAATCAGTAAAACACAGGTAAACATCTTCCTGGTATTATGTGCTTTCAGCCAAGAGCCATCTGACATCAGCAGTGATATCCCTTATTCCACGTCCTCTTCTGAATCCAGTTTGTGTTTCTGACAGTTCCTTGTCAATATACTGCTGCAACCATTTTTTAATTACCTTCAGAGCAAGATTTTACTTGCATGGGATATTAATGATATTCTTTGATAATTTCCGCATCCTGTCGAATCACCTTTCTTTAGAACGGGCACAACGATTGATCTCTTCCAATTAGTTGGCCAGGTAGCTGTTGTCCAAATTTCTTGGAATAAACAAGAGCCTCCAGCATTGCCACCATTTGTTGAAACATCTCAATGGATATTCTGTCAGTTCCTAGAGCCTTGTTTATTTATCAATTCCTTCAGTGCAGCTTGGACTTCTTTCTTCAAAACTATTGGTTCTTGATCATGTGTTACCTCTTGAAATGGTTCAACAGTGATCAACTCTTTTGGGTACAGTGACTCAATATATTCCTACCATCTTCATTTGATGATTCCTGCATTGTTCAATATTTTGGCCATAGAATCCCTCAATGTTGCAACTTGAAGCCTGAATTTTTTCTTCAGTTTTCTCCACTTGAGAAATGCCGAACATGTTCTTCCCTTTTTGGTTTTCTAACTCCAGGTCTTTGCACATTTTGTTATAATACTTTACTTGGTCTTCTTGTGCTGCCCTTTGAAATCTTCTGTTCAGTTCTTTCATTTCAGAGTTTCTTTTGTTCACTTTAACTACTCTATGTTCAAGAGCTAGTTTCAGAGAGTCTGCTGACATCCATTTCGGTCTTTTCCTCCTTTCTTGTCTTTCCAATTTTGCTTTTTCAAGAATGATGTTCTTGATGTCATCTTATCACTAGCATGGTCATCAGTCACTGGTGTTCAATGTGTCAAATCTATTCTTCCAATGATCTATAAATTCAGGTGGGATATAATCAAGGTTATATTTTGGCTTTCATGAACTTGTTTTAGTTTGCTTCAGCCAACTTGAACTTGCATAGGAGCAACTGATTCTCTGTTCCAGAGTCAGCTCCTGGCCTTTTTCTGACTGATGATACTGAGCTTCTCTATCATCTCTTTCCACACATGTAGTCAATCTGATTCCTGTGTATACCTTCTAGACAGGTCCATGTGTATGGCTGCTTTTAAGCTGTTGAAAACAGGTATTTGTAACGAGTAAGTCATTGGTCTTGCAAAATAGTACAATGAGATATCCAGGGTCATTTCTATCACCAAGGCCTTTTTCCCCAGCTACCAATGATTCTTTGTTTCCAACCTTCACATTCCAATCACCAATAATAATCAATACATCTTGATTGCATGTTTGGTCAATTTCAGACTGCAGAAGTTGGTAAAAATCTTCAATTTCTTCATTACTGGCTTTAGCAGTTGGTGCATAAATTTGAACAATAATAGTATTAACTGGCTTTCCTTGTAGGTGTATGGATATTACCTTACCAGTGACAGCACTGTATTTCAGGATAGATCTTCAAATGTTCTTTCAAACAATGAATTCCATACAGTGTCTCTTCAATTTGTCATTTCTGGCATAGAGGATCATATGATTATTGTGTGATTCAAAATAACCAAACCAGTCCATTTCGGCTCCCTAATGCCTAGAATACTGATCTTTATCCATTCCACTTTTGACAACTTCCCATTTTCCTAGATTCATAACTTCGAACAATCCATGCTGCGATTATTAATGGATGTTTGCAGCTGTCTCTTCCCATTTTGAGTCAAGCCCCATCAGCAAAGGTCCCAGAAGCTTTACTCCACCCAGGCCATTAAGGTCTACACTACTTTGAGGAGGCAGTTCTTCTCCTGCTGTATTCTGAGTGTCTTTCAACCTGAGGGGCTCATCTTCAGGTACTATATTACATAATGTTTCATGACTTTTCATTAAGTTGTCAGTAATATATGAGACAGTGTTCCACTGCTATTCATAAGGTTTTGAGTGGCCGGCTTTTGCAGAAGTGGATGGCCCTGTCTTTCTTCGAAGTCTGTCTTCATTTGGATGTTCCGCTGAAACCTGTCCACCATGGATGATGACCCTGCTGCTATTTGAAGCACTAGTGGCACAGCCTGCAGCCTCACAGCAACACACAGGCCACCTCAGTACGACAAACTGACAGACCAGTGGTGACAACGCTTTATAACAAAACAAAAAATTCATGTGTATAAGCTCAAACTTTTCAATATGTTATCAGAGAGTTCTGTCACTGAAATGTGAGTGTGTGGGGTAGGTATGCAGAAAGGCATTTTGTGTCTCCTAAACGGGCCTCAGGAGCTCTGGTAGCATAGTGCCTAAGGCACTTGACTGCTAACCAGAAGGCGGGCGGTTCAAACCCACCAGCCACTCCTCGGAAAGAAGATTGGGCAATCTACTTCCGTAGTGATACTGCCTCGGAAACCCAAGGAGGGGTCACTATCAGTCGGGTCTGACTCGACGGCACATAACAACAACAACAACAACAACAAACGGGCCTCAGACAAAAAAGGTTAGTTATGTTCAAATTAGTTAACTACATTCAATAACTTTTAGAATATCTTAAAAGAGTGTTTCTTTATATCCTCACTGATTACCTGAAAAAATTCTGCTGACATTTCCAAAAATGGAGCCTCAAAATCTTCTTCATAGACTGATCTTCCTTCAAGACCTAAAATCATTAACATCTGGCAAGCATTTCTTATTGCACCTCTGTCAAAAGAAGATAATCCAATTGATAATTAAAATACATTGAAGACTCTTGTAAAAAAACGCAACAAAAGTTGCTAGAAATCTTTTCAGAAAATTTAACATTTATCAATGTGTCCAATCTCCCATAAGGAACTTATTTATGAAATAAGGAGTTAGAGTAATTTTAATTGGAAAGCATAGCTTAACTGTTATTGGCACCCTGCTGTAACAAAAAAATTTTTAAGGAAAATATGCTTACAACACCCAAATATTTCTATACATTTAAAAAAGCAGAGAGAATAAAAAGGCTGTTTATAAGGAAACAGGGAAGAGTAAGTAAGGGAGAACAGCAGCTGTATTGCCCAGTATGGGTACAACATATAGCTATTTCTAGGCAATATAATTTTTTACACTAAATAACTTTTGGGCAATCCTGACCCAGGACCAAAGCTAAAATAATAAGAATTTTACAAGTCTTTATCTAACAACTGCTAGGAAAACAGAAGCAGTTGACAAGTTTCAAGTCATGCTGGCGCTGCAATCATGTTAGGATGGGGCAGCGAACAGAAGAATAGTTCTTAGTAATTTTTGACAATAATTAGCATTTTTCTTTAAAAATGGTAAGAATGAAAATTACCCAAAAGCCCTTAAAGAAAAAGGGCAAGAGAAGAAATAAAAATGTTATCATACAGCAAAAAAAAAGGACAAATGCGTGCATGAAAAATAAAAAAGGAATATAAACGCCTTATTTTTCAAAAGAAAAGTGTATTAAATAAAAGCTTAAGATGGTCTCTTCTGAAAATGTTAACTGTTGAGTGTGATACAAAGTTTACATGGATAGTCATAATGTTCTGGGAATTCAAACTTCATTTATTTTAATAAAATTACAAAAGTGAAGTGGTCCTCAGGATATAACCATTAAAAACCAAAACTCCAACAGTTAAAGGATGATTATACCTGTCTACCACTTCTCCTTTTCGCTCTCTTGCAATCATATCCAATAGAGTTTGCCGTAGATGATCCCTGATACACCCATAACGGACAACTTGATCTCGAAAAATAATTAATCCCAAATTGTAGACATTCTCCACATTATTTTGTTGTACATATACACGGTCCTGCAGTTAACAACAAAATCATAAAAACACAGTCTAATTCTTGCAAACAAAAATAATCAATATGAGTTATGACAATGAATAAAAGGAAGTAAAATTCCAAAAGTAGTCATTTGTCAGGTGAGGAACACTTCAAAGTATCTTCAGCAACTTGTTGGACTTTCCCAGTACCTCCAAAGTTATGATTTATAGTGGTTATGTTACTGAAACAAACAATGGCTCTAGATCACTGCTCATGTATTGCAGGGGAAAAAGTTACACACTACACCTAGACAGAGGCATGTGAGCATCCTCTTCTTTCTCCCCAAAGCCATACCATGCCCATACACAGTTCATACTTTCTTCAACACTAAGCTTGAAGATCACACTCTTTGAAGTAAAACTGGGAGCAGAATGAAATACAGCTCTGTACGACTTAAGTTGATTGCATACTGGTAAATATTAAAAGGTTCCAATGCTTTATAATAGAATAGCATTAAGTACCCCATAATTAAAACAATTCTAGTCACTGTCACTTCAAACAGATTACTAGTTGTACTCGCCAACATGATTATAGGTATCTCACTTTATAGAGCATAAGTACAGAATTACTGGCTATACAGCTTTATTTTGTATATTATATAAAAATGTGTGTTTATACTAAAATACGTTGAAATAAAACTACTGTGTTTAATTCTTAAAAGGATTAGTAATACAATTCCTTTTTGTTATTAAAACAGGCTCTCTCTGGGCTTTGGTGAGTCTATAAAAGTCGTATAATTATTTAAATACTTTAGAGAGGGAGCCCATAGATTTCGTAAGATTCTTGAAGCCATCTGTAATCCAAAAAATTTCAGAACTACTGCAAACAATAATCTTTAGAGTTTGCATTTATATAAATTTAGTTCATTACAAGCAACATCAAAGACAGCTACATGGTAAATGTGAACAGAAGCTCTACCATATTAAGAGAGTAACAAGAATGGCACCGATCCACCTTCCAAGCAATTTTAACCAAATTCTTCATGTGCATTACTCCCTTTATAAGACAATATTGCTCCCAACCGTCCTTCATTTATTTTATACAGTAGTACATACTTAATGGCTATAAGGAAAGCTACTCTTTTATCAGCATTTTTGATGCTAACATTTCTATGTTCCATATACCCTTAGCTTGTGGTCAGATATTTCAGATCCTGACATCAACGTTACTGAGGTAAAAATTCTCATTAAAGACTTATCCAGCAAGTTCTTGGACTTCGCACTTCCAAATTTAAAGTTTTCCCCAGCCACATCCTTCATTTCTTTTGATGGTTCCTATTCTTTTTCGGTGCCTAAGGCACCTGACTGCTAAACAGAAGGCTGGCAGTTCAAACCCACCAGCCACTCCTTGGGAGGAAGGGTGGGCAATCTCATCCGTAGTGATACTGCCTCGGAAACCCAAGGAAGGGTCACTATGAGTCGGTCCAACTCGATGGCACGTAACAACAACAACATTCTTTTTTGGTGGGTACTTAACCTGCTCTTGGCCCTCATGACCACAAGGCTCAGCCATTCCCTACTGTCAGACTCATTTGGGCTTGCCTTTCAGCATAAAATAAAATCCATGCAATAAAATTAGCATGAATCCAATAATTAAAAAGCAATCAAACCCTTTTTATTGTGAAAAGAATCAATCCTATCACTGCTTAAGTTAACTATTTGGTAAATTTGAGTTTTATAATTGTAAATATAAATTTCTATGGTACACAACTACCTCATCTGTCAGTTGGTCACACTGTGGTGGTTTGTATGCTGCTGTGAGGCTGGAGGCTATGCCACTGGTATATCAAATCCCAGCAGGGGCACCCATTGTGGAAAGGTTTCAGCAGAGCTTCCAAACTAAGACAGACTTAGAAGAAGGAAGAGGCCATCCACTTCTCAAAGAATTGGACAGTGAAAATCTGATGAACAGCAGTGAAACACTGTCAGATATGTTTATTACTGGAAAACTTTAGGACTAGCCCTGAAACATTGTCTGATACAGTGCTGTCAGAGGAGCCCTTCAGATCAGAAGGCACTCAAAATAACACTGGGGAACAGATGCCTCCTCAGAGTAGAGCCAATCTTAATGATACGGATGGAGTAAAACTTTCAGGACCTCCATTTGCTGATGTGGCATGACTCAAAACAAGAAAAAATAGCTGCAGACATCCATTAATAATTGGAACATGGTATATGCAAGGTATGAATATAAGAAAATTGGGAGGTGTCAAAAATGAAATGGAATGCATACAGATAGCTATTGTAGGCATCCAAAACCAAAATTCAAACTCACTGCTATCAAGTTGTTTCTGACTCAGACAGATCCCCCCACCTTGGGTTGTAAGGCGTTATCTCTACAGAAGTAGATTGCCCGATCTTCCTTCCAAGGAGTGGCTGATGGGTTTGAACCATCAACCTTCTGGTTAGCAGTCAAACACCTTAGGCACTATGCCACCTGAGCTCCTAGGCATTAGTGAACTGAAATGGGCTGGTTTTAGCCATTTTCAATCACACAACCGTATGACCTACTATTTGGTCACAAAGAATGTTTCAAGATCTACCCTGAAGTACAATACTGTCAGTGATAGGATAATATCCATATGCCTACAAGAAGGCCAATTAATACTACTACTACTCAAATTTACTCACCAACCACCAAAGCCAACAAAAAAACTAAACCAAACTCACTGTCATGGGAGTCAGATGAGACTCATCCTTGGGTTTCTGAGGTGATACGGAAGTAGATTGCCCAATCTTCCTTCCAAGGAATGGCTGGTGGGTTTGAACTGCCAGCCTTCCAGTTAGCAGTCAAATGCCTTAGGCCCTACGCCACCAGAGCTTCTACCAAAGCCAAAGATGAGGAAATTGAAGATTTTTACCAACTTCTGCAGTCTGAAATTGACCAAATCAATCAAGATGTGTTGATCATCAATGGTGATTGGAATGCAAAAGTTGGAAACCTAGAAGAATCACTGTTGTTGTTGTTGTTGTTGTTATGTGCCGTCGAGTCGGCCCCGACTCATAGCGACCCCTCCTTGGGTTTCCGAGGCAGTATCACTACGGAAGTAGGATTGCCCAACCTTCCTTCCGAGGAGTGGCTGGTGGGTTTGAACCGCCAGCCGTCTGGTTAGCAGGCAGGTGTCTTAGCCACTATGCTACCAGAGCTCCCTGAAGAATCACTAGTAGTTGGAAAATATGGTCTTGGTGACAGAAATAACGCTAGAGATCATATGACAGAATTTTGCAACACCAACAACTTATTCACTGAAAATACCTTTTATGAACAACATAAATGGTAGCTACACATGTGGACTTCACCAGATGGCGTACATATGAATCAGATCAACTACATCTGTGGAAAGAGGTGATGGAAAAGCCAAAACAAAGCAGGAGCTGACTGTGAAACAGATCATCAACTGCTCATGTGCAAGTTCAGGCTGAAGCTGAAGACAATGAAAATAAGTCTACGAGAGCCAAAATATGACCTTGATTATTGTTGTTGTTGCTTGCCGTCGAGTCGGCCCCGACTCATAGCGACCCCTCCTTGGGTTTCCGAGGCAGTATCACTACGAAGTAGGATTGCCCAACCTTCCTTCCGAGACCTTGATTATATCCCTCCTGAATTTAGAGACCATCTAAAGAAGAGATTTGATACACTGAGCACCAATGACCAAAAACCAGAGGAACTGTGGGATGACATCAAGAACATTATCCATGAAGAAAGCAAAAGGTCATTAAAAAGACAGGAAAGGAAGAAAAGACCATAAAGGGGGTCAGAAGAGACTCTGAAACCTGCTCTTGAACAGAGAGTAGCTAAAGCAAATGAAGAAATAACAAGATAAAAGAGCTGAACAGAAGATTTCAAAGAGCACCTCGAGAAGACATAGTCAATTATTACAATGAAATGTGCAATGATGTGGAGATAGAACAACAAAAGGGAAAAACACACTTGGCATTTCTCAAGCTGAAAAAACTGAAGAAAAAATTCAAACTTCAAGTTGCAAAATTGAAAAGATTCTATGGACAAAATACTGACTGACTGAGGAAACATCAAAAGAAGATAGAAGGAATACACAGAGTCACTGTATCAAAAAGAACTAGTTGATATTCATCCATTTCAAGGAGGTAGCACATGATCGAGAACTGATGGTATTATAGGAAGAAACTAAAGCTGCACTGAGGGAACTGGTGAAAAACAAGGCTCCAGGAATTGATGGAATACTCATTGAGATGTTTCAGCAAACGGATGCCATGCTGGAGGCACTTACACATTTATGCAAAGAAATTTAGAAGACAACCACCTGGCCAACTGACTGGAAGAGATCCTTACTTGTACCCATTCCAAAGAAAAGTGATCCAACAGAATGTGGAAATTACCAAGCAATAATATCACTAATATCACACGCAAGTAAAATCTTACTGAAGATAATTAAAAAACTGCTGCAGCAGTATACTGACAGAGAACTTCCAGAAATGCAAGCTGGATTCAGAAGAGGATGTGGAACAAGGGATATCACTGCTGATGTAAAACATGGACCTTGGCTGAAAGCAAAGAATACCAGAGACGTTTACTAGTGTTTTGTTGACTATGCAAAAGCATTCCACCGTGTGGATCATAACGAATCATGGATAACTTTGAGAAGAATGGGTATTCCAGAACACTTAATTGTGCTTGTGAAGAACCTGTACACAGACCAGGAGGTTGTTGTTTGAACAGAGCAAGAGGATACCTCATATTTTAAAACCAGCAATGGAGTGCATCGGGGTTGTATCCTTTCAACATACTTATTCAATCTATATGTGAGCAAATAATCTGAGCAGTTGGAATACATGAAGAAGAATGTGGCATCAAGATTGGAGGAGGACTCATTAACAATCTACACTATGCTGATGACACAACTTTGCTTGCTGCAAGTGAGGATGACTTGAAGCAGTTACTGATGAAGATCAAAGACTACAATCTGCAGTATGGATTATATTTCAATATAAAGAAAACAAAA